GGGCATATTTAGAAAAGTAATTGAACAATTCGATAACTCGTGTTTTGAGCGCTATTTTCGCTGCAGATATATCAGTACTCATTTTGTATATATGAAATCGACTTCGTTTACGGCCAGTATTATCTTCCCTGCGTTAGTGCTATCGTATCGGTGAAGTTATTCCCTATCGATGTGTACAGCACACTAGTGGCGTTGATTCTCATGCTTTTCTGAAGCGAGGTCCCGTACCTTTATTGGACTAATAATAGTAGCAGAGCTACCTGGTTTACGGCGAACTAAATATGTGAAAAGTTACGATGAAACGAAAATGACAGGATGCCCAGAAACCGGCAACGGAACCAGTACGTAAAAAGTACACTGAGGGCAAAAACTCGTCACAGTTTAGACAAGAGATATAATTTGCCCAACTATAACACTGTGTAAAAGTGAAGAACTGGCAAAAAAAACAATGTTATTGAGGTCATTTACGGAAAAAAACGCCGTTTCTACATTGATGGTAATAATTGGAAATTAAACAAGAAAACGTCCGAAGACACAATAACTAATGTTGTACTGTCATACGTTCGCCGTTAGGCGAGAACAAGAACTTCATAATTTTCACAAAGTTATTGCATCGTTCCATACATGAATTGCTATAGTAGTGATTGTCTGCTATTCTCGACCGTTCCCCCTGCCAGCTTCCCGTAGTCAGCGTATAAATGGCCGTATAACATGGCTATATTTTATTATCTATCGCGCGCCTCTTTGTATGTTAGCGCTTTTTAACGATCTTGTTACGTGCCGCCGCCGCCGCCGCCGCCGCCATTGCCGTCAACGTTTTAACTTACCCACTCCGGCGGCAAAGGAGCGCATACGGCAGATGAAGCGTCCGTTTTCATTTCGCTGTCGCTGTCGCCGTCGCTGTCGTCGCACACTTTTCAAGCGTATTCTATAGCATATATACATATATATATATATATCTATCTGCAACACTCTAGATTCTGGCTCGTATACACATTGAAGCGTTTACGAGAGCGAAAATTGCCTGCCAACTTGATTCGGATGGTGATGGCGGCGGCGATCTGAGTCGACGTCATTGGTGATGACGGTCGGCGTCAGAGAACTAGAGAAAAAGAGGATCCGATAGACCGATCAGCTTCGAGAGAGTAACGAAGTCAGCCATAGGCGAAATCGGTAAAACGAAGACGCTTGACGGAGTTTTACAATTCGTCGAAATTTATGACACAGCTAAGAAACGGGTCCTTAAACGAGGGGAATGGCCTAGGTGTAACGAAGCGTACGGACCGATCCGTGGTTTAAGCAGGTATCGGCTTTAGATAGACACGAACAAAAAAAAAAAGAGAAAAGCACAGAACAAAAAGACATTAATGAAATATAAAGGCATAAATAGCTTGAGTTATGAGGCGCCGGTCACGCTCAACGATCGTAGCATACCGTACGTAGGACCCTTAAACAGGATTCGTTGATTGTAGTCATTAGTAAGCTAGGCGCGTGATATGGGGTACCGTTTTAGAGAAACAAACAGGAGCTATGTACATTCGGATGTCGTACAATGCAAACTGTTGCCAGAATCAGCCGACTTGGCCGAGTGGAAAACTTGCCATTGATTCTAGCCTGTCTAGTGGGAACTGCATAGTAGCCTCGTTAACCGAACCGCTTTAGATGTACACTTTCTGCGTATGATTTTTAAAAATGTTTTTTTTTCTATTAGGAGCATTATTTCTTGGCTGTGTACGGTCCTGCATGTATAAGCCAGTCTCAGTCAGCTTACTCGACAAATTATCAAGTCAATAGCTGCCACCACCCCTAGGAGCGGGAGCTATACTCGACGGAGTAGATACATCTACTATTATTACATTTTTTTTATTTTACATTTTTTCCGTACAGTTCACCCATCTCTTGGCCATTTTCTGCGAGTTTTTTGACAGAGCACGCTTAATAAATAACAAGTCATCACGATTTGTGTCGGCATTTCGACAATATGTATATAGACCCATATTGATGCCCTTGTTTGTTAGTCTTTTCTGTGATGACAGTTTAGGTTTTCGGGGCTGTTTCTTTTTCCTTCGATTTGTTGTGAGTCGTTAATGTTTATCACCAGTCTTTCTCCGTTCCGGCCTCAGATTCGCGCGCACATACACCGGCTACATAAAGACCGACGCTCAGTGTCGTCCGCGTTAACCTTTTTGGGCTCGCAGTCGTTGTCGCCATAGCTCTTACGATTGCTCGTGGTTTTGCATACGTGATAACAGCAATGACAAACGCTGTTGAGAAAAATGACGATCGTGGCCGTAGAAACGGAGCCCACATCTGCATATCTACCGTAACGATGACGACAACAACAACAACAATATCATGACTAATACCTTGACAGGCCCCTCACGGCCTGCCTATTAGTTGTCGTCAACTATTGCTATTAAGTATCGACAGGACACGTATCTTCGGACATGCTCGCCTCGATCGGCTGCAATATCTTCTCAGGCTTTTAGCTGTTACTCAGCGTCTTCCGTTGCATCTGTGGCCGATAGCGAAACAACTACACTCACTCATAGCTAGCGCTGTACGTACGATGCGTGGCGTATCGTAATTTACCTGTACCAGGACTCGGTTACTGTTTTGGCCGCCCCTCGCTCATTCTCATAATATTGATAATAATAATGATGAGATTACTCCAATGAGCGCAGCAACTCGCAGGTATCATGGATGGACATCATGGCCATCGTTCCGATCCGTGACGAGGCGGTCTGTATTTGGTTTCGTCATGTTTAAGACGGTAAGTGTCTATTACAATCTCTGCGAATCGATTGTATTACTCGGATCTTCGTGATCTGATGATGGTGATCGCTGTGTTCGCACGGTAGCCGTTTGGCGAAATTGCCGCTTCGTATGAGTTAGTGTAGTTATTCTTCTCGATCTCGCTTACCCTGTCTGTTAGCCTGTCTAGTTGTGTGTCTGCCAGCTTTGGCTATGCGTGTGTTTCTCTTCTTTCATCTGTGCGTGAGCGTCAGTGTTTTGTGTCTGTGTTGTTTGTTGTTAAAACAACAATAATGATGAGAGGGGCTGCCGACTTTTTGAAATATGCTTTGTTTAGAAAAAAACACTGACGGAACAACGCGGGGTGGAAAAGCGCGATGAAGGCGGCAGCATCGGCTGCGGTCGCCATTGGTTTACACCAATGGCGACCGCAGGCTGGAAACGAGCGTCCTAATCTATATTTCCATGCAGTTTATAGCTCGATTTAGTGGCTAGTTTCAGCGTTCGTTTGTTCCCATCGAATCTTTCGCTGCTGCCGCCGTTGTCGCAGCTGTCGTCGCTGTTGTTGTTAGTAGCACAACAACGACGAAAGTATCGACTGCGAGAACGTTAGTACTTCTACAGGCAGCGGTGGATGTCCTGACGCCACTTCGGTTGTGTCTGGAAGAAGCTCATCGCAACGGCAGCAGACATTTTTGACAGGATTTGCTCGAATTGCCACTGCCGCCGCCGCTGCTGATGGATTAAGCACTACCGAATCGTGCAGCGGGAGTAACCGTACGATTATGCCCTATTCCAGCGTAACGCTTTTGTGGTCTACTGGATACTATAGCTTACTGCTAGGGACTGTTACCCACAATGCTGTAGTCTCTTGCGTGCATGTATGTGTGTGTCTGTAAATCGAACGTTTCTAGCGACGATATTTTCGGTAGAATAGGGACCATCGTCGATAAGCCTAGTAGATGTATCCGGATGAACGATACCGAAGTTGCCTCGTTATTGCCGCGCTCGTTTCGTCAACAATTGTCTAAAACAAATTGGCTTGTTGACATGATCTTTGTTTTGTTTAAGATCGTCAGTGACTGCTGCCGCTGCTAAAGAGAGTTGCTAGAAGAGACGAACATTTTTCCTTAAGCAAGTGCTCCCTGGTCTCCTGCATATAGCCCCGATCGGAAAAAAAAGCGGCCTAACGCCACCAGGGCTCTGCGCTCTACTCGACTTAGTATGCGTCGAAGCGAATTATCGAATCAACGCTGAATTACTGTCTGTCGGGCGCCGGCTGTTGTGAACAAACGTTTGAGGAATACAGGGACAAATCGAAAAAACTAGAGAAACTCGAGCTGAAACAGGACCGCGAGATAAATGTGTGCCTAGGTGGAAACATATCGAAACAGTCCTAAGGCAGAAGCTCCGGCCGTCCTCGTCATTTGATTAGCGGAGATCACGACTGCCGCTGCTGGGGGTCCCTGCGCGGTTCTTTTAAGAGTGAAGAACAGGGAGAGATGGAGCTCGAAAATAGAATCGGCTTCAATGTCGTTACTCTCGGATGCGTCCTAATGAGTGCGTAACTTGAGCTGGTCGCCGATAGAATCCGATCCTAAAAGGCTCAGAGCCCGGAAAGTGAATGGAACAGAGACGCAGATAGCTCCAGTCAGTACAGCTGATCAAAAGGAGCTGTGTCTGACGGCAGGACAGGTGATGATGATCATGTCGACAGCCGTTCAGTCGCAGAGAGGATAGTTATTTAGGACGCAGCGAAATACAAACGAATGAGAACGCGTATACAAGTATATTAATAGAGCCACGTATATACACAGACGGGCCAAGAAGCCATGACATTCGTCGAAAGAGAGCTTGGCTGCTTCAGAGGATGACAAACTGAGTGACAGGTCACTTGAGGAGTGATCCTGTGAAATAGGCTGGAGCGAAGAGAGCCGCCGCCATAGTTACTGAGAATACAGCAAAAAATCATAGAAGAATATCGTTGCTCGATAGTTATTAATGGTCAAGGCAATGATTTGAAGAAGGTAACCGGGTTTCTGAGCTAGGTCGTCAGGCTTAGGAATCGATAAGGGCTAAGGGGTGAAAACGCAGGTCAAAAGACAAATGCAAAAAACTGACATTTTTCGATTTTCGGCTAGATCAGCAGCCAAGACAGCATTGACTCTAGTCATTAAATCGTGTGAAACAGATGACTCTATTATTATTATTGTATGACCCAATTTCAAGCTATAAGTAAGATGTAGATGTCATTTCAGACGATTCTCAACTCGATGCACAAGTACCAGCCGCGGTTCCATCTTGTACGCGCCAGTGATATCTCGAAATTGCCGTACGCCGCGTTCAAGACGTTCGTCTTCCGTGAGACGGAGTTTATCGCGGTGACAGCGTATCAAAACGAGAAGATTACCCAGCTCAAGATCGACAACAATCCGTTTGCGAAAGGATTCCGTGATACCGGCGCCGGCAAGCGAGAAAAGAAGTACGCCCTATAATTCTCAATAGTAATAATATTAATAAACGGCATGGGTTGTAACAAGCTTCAGCAACGCATCTTAGCAAGTAAATCATTAAAGTAAAAGTGAAGCGTTATTGGAAATCGTTTGACCTCTTTTAAAATATGTAGAACTGGATGAGTTTTTAGCGAGATAGCTCATGATAACAAATCGTTAGACCTCTCGTTATCACCTTTGTGATGGCATGTTAGAATGATTAGACTGAGAAAAACGCAATTAGTTCCTCGGGTTAACTTGCTTTCTGATGAGCTTCTTTTTATTTTGTTGGCCGAAGTAAGGGAACGTCAATTTTTCACATAGAGTAACGCTGTCATTGCCATCGTTCCATATAACATGTTGAAGTCTAACATTATTTAGGATGCAAAAACTTCTAAAGGCGTCGTTAACGGCAGTGGCGGATGTAAAATTTGAAACATGTATTCAGGTTGCAAAGACTAACCTAACTTTCTTTCCTCAATCTTCCATTTTTAGGAGGCAAGCGCTACTAGCCCAGGCGGGGCAAGGTCAACGAATTCTGACGGATCGCGATCGGTTGGCAGCGCAGAATGCCTCTGGAGGAGCGTCAGCTTGCGCGGACTCTTCCGATGACGAGGACCGTCTTGACGTCGGCGAACCGGCAGATATGCGGCCAGCATCGCTAACTTCAACCAATGCGGAGTCGGCCACAAGCTCAAGTCCGGTTGTGGCAACGCCTCCCTCGCATCTCGCTGGCACAACCGGTCAACTTCCGTCCCTACCAACGTTGTCCGGCTTCAGTGGGCTTGGGAATCTTCCCGGTTTGGCGGGTAACCCATACGCCGCACTTCTACAAACTTTACCGCCGCAACAGTTGTCGTTGGTCATGGCCTATCAGGAGATGACAGCCAGACTAATGTTGGCAAAACGACTTCCATTGCCACCACAGACCTGGCCAAACGTCGGGCTTCTACCTCACACCGGACAAGATCCGTTCGCCGCGGCAGCTGCCGCTGCCGCCCTCATGTTCTCACCGTTTATGCAACAACAACAGCAGCAGCAAGGTGGTGGTGGAGGAACAACAGGAAACTCGCTATCAACGCACGGTCACAATAGTAGCCAAAACGCTCAGAACGGCAACATTTCGCCCCATCATGGCACGCCAGGTGTGCCATCGTCCCCACCATCGTCTTCTTCTCGCGTTTGCGACATTACCAACATGGAGGCGTTAGTTGACAGTTTGCAGCAACGACGATCAACGAGTAAACGACGCAGAAGTAGTTCACCAGATTCAGAGTCAGAACGATTGCGAAGGTCAACACCACCATCTCAGCGTCAGCGTCAAACTCCGGCATCGACGCAAAGATCATCCGATATCGACGACGAAGAGAGCAGAGAACGGAACGATGATGAAAATTCGCGCCAGAAAACCTCTCGACGCCAGGAGCATGAGCAGGCCCATGATCAGGATCGAAATCGGGATCTGCACGATCAGAGGAAAGCGTCGTCCTTGGTGCTTGACTCTACATCACAAAAGTCATCACGGGCTCTGCCGATAGAAGCAACAGAAAATCGAGACGATGACCACATTGGCACTACATTAACGCGAGACAGTAAAAATTCGGATAGTGACGAAGCCGATGACGAAGTAGTGTCGACGGCCGGGGACGATTAACCGCAAACTCCCCACAACTTTGAGATACGTATGTCAACGGGCAACGGTAATAGTGGGGCGAAGCGGCGTCGCACGAGAGGATTCCGGTTGATTCCGGCGGCTATAGGTTACGAACTGACACAGTCAACCTGTTCGCCGATAGCATGCTTCATTACGAGTTAGTGTACGATGATAAATGCAATACAACCATCTGTAATGACGCCAATGTTTCTTACTATTATTCGCAAGTATGCGGCACGTTGGGGAGCCGTTAGCCGTCCGCGACTCGTGTATTGCTTGAACTCAATCAGTTAGATCGGTTTGGTCAGTGGGTACTATAATCCTTGTATTTCCTCTAAGGCAGCTGACCAACGAGACCACATGTACCATATATAACCATTAGGGGTGCCTGCCACTGACGCTAGATGCCTGCAAGGTAACGCAGTTGTGTCCAGTCGATGAAGAAGGGCCGTTTTAGCACCAACGGATTCGAACCACAGCCGTGCCGTGGGCAGGAATAGTGACCCCATTACATCTTCAAGGTGCCCGGTCCCCATTCTGAATGAACGACGACTGATCGGGTGGACGAAGCTGTAGGTGAAGACTCGAGCGGGGGCGAACGCACGAGAAGCGGATAGCCTAATGAAATCCTCTGTGATCTCCAAACACAACTATACATTCTAAAGGACAATTATACGGGTGACTATAGTGGTATTAATAACGGTGATGATGACAATGATAATGATGATCATCTTAACTAAAAAATTATTCCGTATTGTAGCTTTGTCAATGGACAAACAGACTCTTAATAGATAGCGTAAGGTTAGATCGAAACAGGAGACCATTGCTGAAACAGCACCAATTATTACAATTGCTACCACCCATTTAACAAATGAAAAAAAAAACGGTGGATCGCTACAAACGCTAACGAGAAGTAGTAACAACAACGTTAGCACTTCTGTGCAGGTGGCCACACTTGTCGATACCAATCACCATTGAAGCACGACTCCTGAAGATCCCAGACCAACCACGCGACTAACATGTCTTCAATAATGCTAAAACAAACTGTTATCAAGATACAGCTATCACGGCAAAATCGCGCACCCACTTACAGCCTTGTATATACAAAGTGGCGTTAAATTCAGGGCGACAAGAGAAACGACCATTCATAGCCTACTTCTGTCGCAATAATACAAAACAACGACACACAAATAAAAGTGGACTCTAAAGTTCCTCTGCTCAAGATTAGGGCGCGTAACAACAATGGACGTCCGTTAGAAACTGTACATTCAATGGCCGCAGCAAACAAACCGAAATCGAACTTCCCACATAAGTTACTTCTAACATATAGAAGAAGCTTGAAACCGGCCAGATAGGTTTACATCGATTTTCTGACAGCATTTGAGGCTGTGCGATCCGTTGATCTACCTTACGAGCGCATAAAGCGTGTATGTACGTTAACTTTGTGCAGATGAAATTGCCCTGCTACGAGTGGCCGGGGCTAGTTCGAGTGGAATCTGTTGGTAACGCTATTCCCAACAGAGGGCAGCGCCGCTACCCAACCTGCGCCTGGGTATCGTACGCCAATCGCCTCTGGAACAAAAGTGGCTAGTACTCACACATTATCACCCCACCGCTCACATTTGCTGACAAGCAAAAAAAGCCAACGTTGAATCGAGCGCCGAAAACCTCCGAGGCTGTCAGTTCGCATTTTGATAAACGCAGAAGGACTATTTCGTCAAGAGACGAAGAAGACGCCTCCAACAGAGCGCTTCCTCCCAACGGAACTGACTAGTACCGTAAAGGCCGTGTTAAGATTCGTTTCCTATATATAAATAGTGTACTATTCCAAGTATAATAATAATTATCATTATTATGATAAAATTATAAATAAAATGGATATTCCTATTAATAATCACGATCTAGCCCCTAGCCGCTAGCTGCGGTTGAAAGAAGATTAGGCAACGGCGAAAGGTTAGCCCGACGTACGTTTTGCGACAGTTAGGATCAAGGGAAGGCAAAATAGCATTGAAGTAAGGAACTAGCGTGATTGAGGTCCGAACACATCGAGCGAGTGGATTGCGAATCAGTCTGTAGCCAGCGCCCTCTAGCTACGTTAGCTGCATTTAGCTATTATCAATAGTAGACAAGATGGCAAAGCGAAAATTGGTAATGATGGTGATGCTACTACTGATGGTAACGATGATTAAACACACAGATACATAAACAGTTGAGAGCTATGTTGCATCAAATGGACAAACGACAAAAATCATAATAAGTTACAGTGTCGTCGCGAGACAGACGCAGCGGCAGTGGCACAATCGGCTGTCCTAGAGGTAACCGGGCCTTAGCGAGAACAAACTAATAGAAACAACTGTGTGTGTGTGTGTGTGTGTTTAAAATATACGATTGTATACGTAAAGTGCGAATATGAAACTGTTGGGGGTGAACAGCTAGAAACAGACGGACACACATACTTCTGACCCAAAGAACGAAACATTTTTAGGTAGTAGATATAGGGAGAACCCGCTGGAAGCAGGAACGAACAAGTTGATTGAAATCCCAAGCCTGAACATCTGCCTTCAGGGATGAAGAATTATTGAAGATTATGAACGGTAATATGACTGACATGACTCGGCAAAATGACGCGTGTCCAGAAAAAACTATCGTTCGGTTTGTGAGGAGTAAAGCATTAATAAATTTTCAATTCGTTAATTGACTAATTAACAGATCTCAGCAAATGGAGGTCGGGAATTCTGAACTAACGACCAAAATAGATATAATTGACAAAATTCAGATAACAGACAAAAATCCTGCCACCCGCGTGTACATATTGTCCAAGATATAATGTTGGAAAAATGGAGCAGAAGCTAAGATGGGCAAGAGAAGTTCGTTGTGGAGAAAATAATCTGACAGCAAAGTTGAATGTGGCAAAACTTAGCACGAAAATAGTCTCGGAAATCAAGGCACGTCGACAGGTCAGCATCATTTATGAAGCGGAACAACAAAATGACAAATAAAGAAGAACACGAAATAATGTAGCGTATAATTATGTCAATGTGAATATAATTATTATTATTATCATTATTATGATAATACTGAACGTTAGAGAGAGAGAGAGAGAGAGAGAGAGAGAGAGACATGAGCTAACGGAGAAGCCTGAACTGTATACGGAGCAGTGCAATCATCGGCGGCATAAAGCAATTGAATTTGCGATCTCCATTCAAGACGAAGTCCACACGAATGGGACGAGTTGAGTTAGGCCATTAAAAACCTGAAAGGGTTGCAGAACCACCATTGCGGCAGTGCATTATTGGAATATCAGAATATAGGCTAACAGGTTATATCGAATTCTGGTGACATATAACTTCAAAATAGGTGGATGGCACTTCTGTCCAAGAAACATTCAAGTTTATCTTTAAAGTCCCGATTGTCCACAGAAAGTAATTAGTGAAATTTAAAACTAACTTTCTTTATTTGTTGGCCGTTGCCAAGGACGAAAAGGACAAGAAGAGGGGTCGCGCCTACCGGCTAAACTATCTCAGATGAGATTCTTCATCGAGCCTCATGCTTTCAGTTTTAATTAACATACTATTAATTCACAATACATTAGAAGTTCAAATGATGTAAACTGTAGTCCATGTATTATATGATAGATCAGTAATGAGCTATTTGAGAGCAATAGATAGATCTAATCAAGTGGTCCTCAAAATTTGCAGTTTCTTCCCAAATTTCATTAGTTAATTTAAGCTAAAAGCCATTAAATATATATATATATATATATATATAGTCATGCATAGTTCCTAAGCCCTTATGTCCTACGGCCAAAAAATTATAGTGCTACAATTAAGCCTATCGACTATTAACTGATAATCCACCTGTGCGCGATACAGTATGGGAAAGTGGGATCGAAAGGGCAGGAGGAACTCAGGGGATTCGGTGCGGAACCAGCAACATTTGCTTGTCGATATAACGACGATGATGGGGAAGAACAGATACACATTGCGGAAAGACATCACCATCAAACACTAAACAGAGGAGGAAACCACGAGTTAAATAAATTGTGCTATTTATTGCAAATTCTGGACGTTTTCTATTTTAATAATGTTCCATATATATATATATATATATATGATCGTATGTTGTATGTGATCGTACGGTGTATAGTACAGTAACGGTGAGAGGTATATCAAGCGAGCATTCGGAAACGACCTCATCTCTGATTAGCACAGCCTTATTTTTATCGATTTCGTATATATGCTATAGCCTAAATGAGTGATTTCAACTATCCGCATCTAAGACTGTGACATGAAGATGCAATAACTCTTCATGGTTATATTCTACGTGTGATAGCAACAATATCGCAGGTAAACTCTCATGGCAAACGAAAACTGTTTGCTAACCTAGCTCCTGATCAAGTCTAAAAACTGAAACATTTGCGTTGCAATTAGTCTGACCGTAACACTTGGCCTAGATGTAACTAAATGTATTTTTCACCTTTTTATTGCTCAGGGCATGGACAGGGAACAAAAGAAAAGAGCATTATATATATATATATATATATATATATATGGAAACGTGGATTACATTGACATTCTGTAGCGGGTTGCATACAATCTAAGTTTAAAAGGATCTATGAATATCCTTCGATTGCAGAAGGAGGCGTAAAGGGGTTATTGAACTTTCCCCGTGTCGTATGAGCCTGTCACCCAGTAGCTTTCATAATTCATTTCACAGTTTGCATTGGGCCAAATAGCTGTCAGGTTTAAATGAAGTTAATGCCTAATAATATATCTCAATCAATATGAGCGTTAACCAACGTAATTTAGATTATTACCATTATATGAAGGTTAGTTAAGATGCCGATTATAAAGAAACGGCCTTTACTATCGAAGCCAATGGGTAAGCGACCTTTTGAAGCTAGGCATTTCACGGCACTTTCGAGTCTAGACGATGTCTCAAAAACGGGTTCCGGTCAATGAGAAACATAACATTACAGACTTAACGCGCTTTCTTGCGTAGTGCTTGCTCTTCGAGCGACAATGATATAATGAATCGGCCTTTCCTAGGCCTACGTTCTAAAGAGGTCTAAATAGTTGTAAGGCATTTAGCCGATCCTGTTGCATGTACCTATTCGTTCCTTTCCTACAATCGAACACGTGAATCCGGTGACTGAGACCGGTGCCCGAACAAAAATATTTTATCTACGATTAATACTATCACCTAATCTATAGTGGCGTCGACAATTCCACTCCCCCAATTGGTTTGGATGGCACAGTTTAAAAGACGCTGTAATTACAGTTTTTGACAAATGTGTTTGTTTACCTTCGGGTTGACGTTGTCAGTCAGCTGAAGTGTTCCTTTCTGTGAAGGCTCACGCCTAGTTACGGCAGCTACACACTACAGTCTGCTAAGAAATCCAAAATTCATGTCCAAAATATTTTCCAAATGCTACTATTATATACTGTACTATTATGGTTTCGTTATGGTATCGACATACCCTAACTAGGTTGTATGTACGTATAGATAACTAGCCGTGACGACGTTTATCTACATGACATATATCGTCGACTTTTGTAAATTGAATAAATTTTTCGCGTACTAGATGCACAAGGCTGTGCAACTAACACATCGAATAGGCCAAATCCGGACGACTTCTATCCATTCATTGCGTTTTGCAGCCATTGTCTCCTGCCTTATTTTCGCGGCTCAGTGTATATGAGAGCTGTTCAGTAACTTGCCAACCAGCGTGCCTGGCCCGTCACTACCACACAGCCCGTAGTCGCTGGGTTCATGAGAGGATCTATCACCTCCACTGGTCATTAGTAACGGTCACGTCAGCTGCGAACGCCTATCGACGCTATCCGTGGTGTTCCGTTTAGCACTATTTGTTCAAGGGAACACAGCGGTCATGAGGCAGCGCAGTCCACGGCGCCCTTAGAAATTGTACAGTTGGCTGAACTGTTCGTGGCTTCTCGGGGGAAACGTGCGGTCAGGTTTCCAACATATGTATATATATAGGTTCAGGTCTGCAGACAGGCGCACGCTTTACTGCTGGCTTCATAAAGCGCCCCGCGCCTGCAAGAACTCTGCCAGAAATGCCACCAGTGACCGGCTGGCTATCGCAATTAGAGTAGGTGGTACAAAATCTACTAGCTTCCTGTATCATCACCTGATTGCTCTCCTGAGCCAAGGATACACTTCATGGGCTAGCTTTCAGCAGTCTATACTCGAAACGCTATTGCGGGTCAAAATGCTCGCAGGATCTTTCTCTCTCTCGGTGTCTGCCCCGCTGTGGTCCGAGGCCAACTGCAGTTGCTTAAAATTGTGGTACGAGGTGGTTGTCTCAGGTTTTGGCAGAGATAGTAGGTGATGATCGTGTGTTTGCGTCTGGCTACAGTCATGCTATCTTTTTCGTACCTTCGGTTGGTTCGTGCATTGCGTACAGCTACTTGTATAGACACGATTGGCTCATAGTTTTACAGAAAATATTTTCTGTGTCGATAGACGTTAATTTGTTAAGGCAGCGTAGTTACGGAGTGGACTTGTCGAAGCTACCTGAATGATTGAATGAGACGTGACGTGGCCTGTGGATGGAAGCATAGGTGTGATTTCAGATAAGGTTAAATTATCATTGTCATCGTGCACAGTTAACGTGTCCGACTCCTGAACTTAGAGATACGTAAAATAGCTTAGATTAATTGACGCACGTCGTTTCATGCCGGAAGCCATCTTTCTGAAACGATGCTCGACGGCGGTACCGAATGTAAAACTCTAAACATTTAAATCAAATTAGTTTTTGTTTCTTTTTTTTAATAGCTACACATATCTCCAGATGGCGTAGTAGTAATGGTGGAGCTGAAAATAGCGCCATGCTTATTTTACCATGGGCCACTGAAATTTCTTTACGTCGATGATTCAAGTAATGGAAGTTATTCATTTCAAGTCAGTTCCCTGTACCATCTTGTAAAAGGTAAGTTCGAGGAACATTCTTGAAGATCCTTATTGAGAGCTAATACGTTACATCTCTTATACGCGTATACTGATGTATTATCTTTGGACTAATGACAGCTGGACAGGTATTCAAGTAGACGTATTAAAGTGACCGTTTTGTTCTTCTGATAAACAAGTTTCCTGTATGACCATTAGAGAAATCAATTTTTTCCACGGTTCTAGATACGTCGGATGTAACTAAAAATCGTCGATAAACACAAATGTGCTCAGTTTTAAGGTATGATTTATTTTTACCTTTAACAAACGATATGTAAATGTATAGAAGGTACTGCCTGAAAAGATGCGATACATTTGGCTTGATCTGAGGCAGTACGCTCGATTAATAGAAAATAAAAAATGAAAAATAAGAAAAGAGTTGAAGATCATCTAGAAATATAACGAGCTTTTCAATAGGCAAAACTCTAACCGATAACAAACGGTCGTTAGGTGTTTCTCGTGTTCGGTTACCTGTCAGTACAGGTTAGGAACATCATCTGTTCATTGTAGTCCTAGAATGAGTCACTACATACACTATGTCATTACATGCCACTACAAGTCAATCGAAAAGGCCCTGACTATTAGTTCAAAGTACCTCCTATCTAGCCCTACGTAGTCATTTATAATATTTGTAGTGTAAAAGCAAACATCTGGTCCGTGACAAAAAAACGAGCCGTAATTGTACAATGTGCTATAAGTAATTGGGAGTCTAAAACATTTTGATGTTAATGTACATGGTCGGCTTGCAACGTGGAACATTATGTTGGCAAGGCAAAAGTTCCCAAAGAAGTTAAAAGTTTTTCATTCGCGTCCATACACGATCCATTACTGCACTTGCAGACTCGTCGAACTCTTTGGCAATTACCCTCTGCCTGGAGACCAGTCAGGTACGGGTCGTTGAACCGGGTGCTGCTCGAGGAACGAGGTAAGATGCCTCACCTTACTTTCGAGATGCGGGTCTGGCCTTTGACTCTCGTGTAGGTCCGCTACGGTCCGACAAGCCCTCATGAATCGATCCTGATTATACGCAATACCGCGAAGGCTGCTCTTCGCAACAGCCCTGCATCGTCGTGGATGTAGCCTTAATGAGTTATGACGTCCGTGGCTATTAGTCGAGGCAGATTGAGCTACTTCGTAATATTCCATTGCACGCCTAAGTCTCATTCCAATATTTTCGAGTCGTATAAGCATTAAACGGTACCACTCATCACTATAAAAAGGCGTTCTCGTCTCAGGTAGCTCATCCCACGGACACAATCCTCTTGAGTCTAGGTATCGTTGAAGCATATCGACATTACTGGGGTAAACGTTTCTTCGGTAAGTGCTCTTCTGTATCGGTTTCTGTATCGGACAGATGGATCATAAGCGCGTGTTAGATTGCCAAACAGATTGTTAAGGGCAGCTTATATGCACCGTATAATCTCTGATCTATCGGTCAACTTCCGTTGGAAGCAGAAAACGCACAACCTTTTTGCCACCGGCATTTGCCTACAAGATAACCATCCTAACTATTTTAGAAATTTCGATTTTTCCGTACGAAAATGCGATCCTACAGCCGAAACCTACATAATAGAATTCTAGTTGTGTGATGTCCTTAAGCATCATTACTACCTTAATTCTCTACCTTATATGTACATACATATATAGAATTTCACCAAGAGTTATTACTTGTAGCCGAAGAGGTTGACTTGGTTATTGTCAATTAATTCTTGCCTCATTTCCGCCTCAATAAGAGGCGCTGAACAATCGAAAGCATGCATATCGCAGGCAGTTATTCCACAACGAGCAGGACGTTAAAGTTGAATCTGTGTCTTCAACTTAGTCTATTGAAACCAATTTTGAAATTGAGAAAATCCTAAGTTTCGGTCAGCTTAGTTGTACATCTATAGGAAGTCAAAATCTGTGATGACTGTGCAGTATTCTAACCGTTTTTGATATTCAATGGTCCCAGCAGTTGTGTTTTGCCGTGGTGTTTGCCGAGATGTTGAAATCGGCTTAAAAGCATACTATTTCAACACGGAGCAGAGCAAGTGGGCTTAATTGTCGTCCCTGTTGTCGACAGAGATACCTCGTCCTAAGTGCAGGATACGTCAATCCAATCTCGTGCGCCATGGTAACAGCCAAAGTGACAACAATATTTTATACAATATTAGCCAGAAAGTGTCGTATGTTTGTTGCTTTACCCAAGAATATACTCACCCTTATACCGGCAGGATGAGGCTGAAACCAGGTACGCCTCATCCGCCTCAAACCTGGCCTAAGCATTTTGAAGTTTGCTCTGCCCGAATTTCGAATGCAATCCTGGTATGACAGCGCCACATGAACTCGAGACAACCAGAACTATCGTATCACCTCTAATAACCTTAGGACGTTCGAATTAGCCTGCCGGCCTGATGTGATACGTTCATCAAAATGCTCGACGACGCAACTGCTTCGCGCGTAGGCACAGTGGAAGGTCGATGAAGACGAACGCTCAATGTAAAGTGAGGTTGTACTTGAGATCACAATCGTGTTGATTTCGAAACATGTAGATGTGTTCACAGGGAGGCTTCGTGCGCGCTGGAGAGGGCCGCCACAAACCAACGTTAGGTGGCATGTGACTACACGAACGCTTCCTATGAATATGTAGCGGGCTGTGATTGACGTTTTTATCTGCTTGCGACTTCTCCCTAGTTTTAACATACGAAAAGATATGAGAGAACTTGATAAGTCAGAGTTATAAGTGTTTTATTATTATTATCATTTGCTTAAACTCTAGTGGACTTGCTAAATGCTTGTATGAGATTAGAAAGATGGCAATATGTCGAGATGTGCTCGAACACCTTATCTGTATTCAACGCGCACTTGACAGCGTTAAGGTAAATGTAAAGCTTGCTATGTTCAAGTTACGTTTCGCACTTACCAAAAACTCATTTCATAGCTGTGGGGAACTGTAGCATCGTCTTGTGTGGGTACATTGTCACGAACTCGGTTGATATTTACAGATTCAATAACACAGTACATGGGAATTGACAACTCTATGATGTAAGCTAGCGCTACGTTCATCGGAATTGACTGACAAATGTTCAAACATTTTGTGGGGTTTGTCAAGATTTCAAGGTTCATGAGGAACTCTAGTATGGGCAAGTCGAGCCACAGGAACGTGCCACCCCAGCTGCTACCGCCGCCGCTGCTGTTGCCAGGGCCCTAATGGTCTGACCGCAAAGAAACTGACGCTCTGAACAGCGGACAGCCGTAACATGCTTTTCCTTTGGTATAGGATGGCAACACTTCAAAGCCGGAAAGGAAGCTCTCCTATTATTAAGCAAAAGATGATGTTGCACGTAATGAGTACACATGCACGGAACGATTTATTTTTTAATAACTTTCTGAATCGAAATAACTGCTGCACAAAGTATCGTTTCTAATTCCAATTACTGTCTGTTTTAACGGAATAATGAATACAGCGAACTAACGTAGACGTTTTGTACATATATATGTCATTTTATCCTGTTTAATGAAACTACGTATCCAATCTAGCGCAATAAACATAATAGTAATAGTAATAATAATGTATAGAATTTTCATTCCGGGAGAACTATTGTACCAAGGCATTCTAAGTTTTTTTTAGTTTGTTCACTACTTAGTGGAAATGAATCTACAGCTTATTTCAACCTGTTGAAAAGAATAGGAAAATAGACATGGACGTATCATAACGGCTGACAATCACCGTCGTCACCGTTCCGAATCGAACGGGCAGTAAAACGAAAAAGGTAATGTTGTTGCTGGTATTTACTTGCAAATAATTGAAAGCAAAATAAAGAAAAGGTCACTATTTACGGACACGCATCAAATGTATCTTCGTTGAAACTTCGAGTCGTATTATATTGCACAGCATACAGACGAATGATTTTAGCTCTCCGACGACGATTTGATATAAATTTAGCTCTATCAAGCTGATGTCACAAAAAATGGATCTTGTCAAAAGATCTATTTCGTGCAGTCTGGTGCATCCATGAGGAGCTTTACTACAGAATCTTCTGAAGTAAGGGACGGAAGCCATATGGCCAACGGCGCAAGACTGGTAGAGATTACATGACGTGATTGTTGTCTTCAGTTTTCTCTACCGGTGTATCTGGCTGCACGTCGATGAAGGTGCTGTTATTTATTTGGACGGTACCAGCGACCCAAGAAACACAATCTTACATCAGAAGAAGCGAAATTGATATTCGTATACAACGGAACACGGGGCATCTTCGTACGTGGTCCAATTGAAAGAGCTAACAAAATGGCCGCTTTATTGCAGCGAAATCCATCAACGAATCCTATGTGTCACAAGGTAACTTCAGCAAGAGACAATAAAAGCCAACTCAGCTAAAATGGCTAATTCTGATAATTTCTATAAAGATGTTTTACTCCCGTTTATTGTATATATTTGAATACGCCTTGTAATCTTGGCATTTTCGTTAGAGTCGGCCATATCGAAGCCTGTAAACAAAGCGGCATCACACTTCTTTCTGGTAAGTTCACAGCCGGTATACATTACATCGCGACACAGCTCGAGAGCTCTGAATGGGCAGGAAAAGTTAGAGCAGCGGTGCCAGAAATGGGTTACAAATTCTACAAGTAAGCTTTCTGAAAGTGCACTTTTGAAGTTATCATACGACCGTGACAACACGCAGGGATTTGCCATCGACCCGCGTTGGTGCGATAGTTCAGTGCGATCTATCTAGATATTGAATCCCCATTTGAAAGTGTGACACATGCGACATGTGACACACAGGTTAACTACGACGTTCCTGCGGCCTGTAATAGAGGAGCGTTCAGAAAACTCGATTAGCGGCGCCCTTCGCAACCCAACTTCTCGAGGGCGCGGTCAGTATTAGAAAGGTGGCAACATAGCAGCTGGTTGTGACCAAAGAACGATGCAAGGTCATTTATGCATATTTTGTATATAAATCATTAATTTCGCCTTTCCAGCCTTCTTGATCTCAGCGAAGATCTATGCGGATGATGACCGCGCCCAGTGGGTTAGCTTTCTAGAAGCCTTCAATAGATCTTGGAGAACAGATACGAAAATTTGAAATTGAAAACGACCTGTAGAGAAATGCAATTTTGATATTGCACAATACTGTAAAGGTTTTCTACAGAATAGGCTAAAAGAGACCTGGACATCCACAACATTAAAATGTAGAAAATATCGCAGAAGGCGCAACACTTGGAAATAGTCAGCGTAGCAATAGAGACTTCCTTTCGTTCACAATCGTAGATCTGGGGTCTCGTGAGAGATTGTTGTTGTATAAGCCAATGTCTAATCCCAGTTTAAAGAGAAATAAGAAACTTCTATTTGTCAAAGCTTTGAGAAGTAGTATAAAACGAGCCTCGCGTAAATAGCGGCAACATAGACGATGTGAAAATTCCGGATAGCGTAATACGTTTACGGCATTTTTTTAATTATAAACATATATATTTGCACTCTTTTTTTCACCCAATTAGTTAGCAAATTCCTTTAGCGGACATTATACTTAGCGGACTAGCGCGATCCGCTAACCTACTAGCTTCATGTTTAGTAGATAGTACGAATGTTAACTTCTTAGGGCAAACTATTAAGAGCGGCAATATTAACCGTCCTGTAGCAAACGGCTTACCTCTATCAGTAAAGCACGTGGGCATATTGACTATATTGTTACAGGCTACGTTCGACGGGTACGGCATCCAAGATCCAACTTGCCGATACCAAGCTAATTTTGAGTAGCTCTAGGTGGTATATCCATGCGGTGTTTCGACTCCGCTCTAAGAAATTACTACCTCAAACATCCTTGCAGGCATCGACGTTTATGCAAACGTGCCTAACCTAATAGCACCAGTACATCCGCAGAGCAGGGTTACAATCGCTAATAGGGTTTCGGAGCACCTAGCGTTTCTCCAGATGACAGGTGTAACCCAGAATGATAATCTCAGCGTTTGTCAGTTTTACTTAAAAATATCCTCGAAAGAAAGCATAAGCCCGAAAATATGGCGAAGGTTCTCTTCTACGCAGACGATTTAATTATTGACGGAAGCACACGTTTCCCTGAGCAGCAAGCCTTAGCCGGGTTCCACTCTGCAGTCTTGGAATTGAAACTGACTAGCAATCTAATCAAAATTGAGGCAATGAAATTCAGGACAAGTGACAGAGTTGCGGCCTGCAACAGGCTATATTTCTCTGGCCGACCATTGATATATTTGAATCGATTAACCTAATTAACGCCGCCGCTTCCGAGTAACGGTAAGTTCTTTCCAGCGTAGTACCAAAAAAGCCTTGGCAGCTTCGTCCTCAGTAGCCAGGCCTCAACTACTGGCTTTTTCAGTTGCGTTGTGGCTTCTCGACCTCAAAGTTGCGTCAACTGCCGCATGCGGAGTGAACTTAATCTGAGATGATCTAACAGTGGAGAATTTCAATGTTTGAACTGAACAAAGGTTTCGCACCTCAAAAGAGCTTGGGATTGCTCCGGATAACCCGTCATAGGCTTGTCTATTATCCTGGCGGCAACGCTACTATTCGCTAAGGATCTCTGTCACCATCTCGATCTATCGGCAGCTGCCATGCTCCGAAAAAGGTTGGAGGTCGACTCCGAATTCTGTCGGGACTAAGACCTAGGAAGGGCCCAACTGGCCTAACAGATCTCTAGTAAGGCGCTATGTAGTGCATGGTTTTAAGCATCACCTATGTTGAGTACGTGATGCTGTATCACATGTCAAATGCAAATGTCAGACAATGTTGCGATCCGCGTTATGTTTCTGGGCGACTACGAATTCCCGACGAGCACCCGAACTCAGTAGCTAACCGAAGAACGGCAGTTACAAGGGTGTACAATGTATAATACAATCATTGGTAGGCCCAAAAAATCCCGTGAACTTTAGGCCGAACATTTCAGGAACCGTATTATGCCATTAGCTTTAATCGGGTTCGTAAAGCTGTCGTATGTCCGACATACGATAGCCTATAAAGCCTAGTATGCAGAGTTATTTTAAATATATAGATATATTGAAGGAATTTCGAACGCTATCTGACAAAGGTGTAAAGAGTGTGTAAATGATTACACGATGCTCTCAGAAGCAGAAGAAAACGCCAGGTGCATTTCCCAATCTGACGTCAATCCTACCTACGAACATTGACATGTGGGCATTTATACCGCCCACAGCTCGCTGCTACTATAACGGGCTTTTTATTTCTATATATATATATATATTTATTTATAAAATCTATTTAAGAACTATGGTATTGTTTTTACTCGTTGCAGACTTAATTCGCTATCCAGTTATCCATTCTCGACGAGAAAAGTTTTAAAAAAACGACCTTTACTATTGTTAGCTTTCAACAGTTATGCCAGTACATGTCTGCTGGAGAACTATCGAGTTCCTATCGATGGTGTATAAA